GAATTTCCACGTGCTTTTCTTCCAGCGCTTCCTGCCAGCAGGTGTTAGACCTCTTTTGGTTTTCTATATCTCTAAATATATAGGCATTGAAAAAAACTAATGACCATGTATTCTGATCCTCAAACATGAAAAATAAACCATGTTTAGGCACATACTGTATGTATTTGTACAGGTAACCAAAAAAGGAGTGGTTTTGGTGTAGGACATAAAGATCATGTATAGAAAAGCATTCTCTTAGAATACCTGCCTTTGAAGTGGGTTCACGGGCTCCAGGAGATGTGGACACCTGCCAGCGATAGCCAATGTGTATGTATGCATATATATACATAGAGAGAGAAATTCGGATAGGCCTTGCCTCAACGGGAACTGCCTCCAGACCAGTTGACCTGGTAGAAGTGTTCCATTGTGCAACTGTAACATCGGCCTTGGCTTCTTGAGAGACAGTAGGGTGGTTTTGCCACATGTGGCCGGACACTCCCAAATAGCATCGTTTGCACTCCAATCAGACCAATAAACAAATGACAAAAAATACACCTTTTGTATACAACCAGGGCGCTGAGTCTGCAAACCAGAAAGGCCCATACCCTGGAACCAGCAAGTCAAAGTGGCCAAACTTTCTGTTCTCACATGTTGCATCCTCATAGCTGAAGTATAGATGTGCACCGATCCTAGGCCCTTCGCCATCATGGATTCCATAGATTCCATCTGGAAGGGCTTCTGTCATGTGTTTCTGAACAACTGTATAGGTTGCCATACCCATAGACACCCTCAGTGGAAACCCCAAGCTTCTGGATATCCAGTGTAGATCTTCAATGTCGAAGGAGCCCTCTGCTCGAACATGACGAATCCTGTCCGCCATCTGAGGAAAAGTGTGCAATGCACGCACACCTTGGTTGCAGAAGATCATATTATACACATTGTTACCATGTGGAGTTGCATTAATCCCTGTACCCTAGTCTTTTTTTTGGTGTGGTGAAGATATATTTATATATACACCCTCAGGTCCTGACACGTGTCTTCACAAAGATCTTTGCTCTGATGGATCTCTTCTTCATTCTGATCGGGATGGATCGGGTAGGCCGACTCGTTCCTGCAGTGGTTCGCCCTACAACATCCTTGAAAAGAGCACTCCGCGCCTTCTAAAGTCAATTGCCTGGCTTACATGCATAGCATACATACATATATATATATATACAGCAAGTTTCGGATGCGCACTGGATTTTGCACCTGCACGGTCCTGGCCACAGATTCGTAAAGTTCAAGCTGACTGGCTGCCAGAATGCACCGCCACCCGCATCGTCCGTCACCCGCGATCTTCACCCGTCTGAATTGCACGCGAGGCTGAGCAGGCTCAGCGGCTGTGGGCTTTGAGGGTCCGCTGGCAACTTTCGCCACAGCTAAGCACACAAGATTATCCAAGCGCATCTTGTTGTCAACAAACAAATCTTCCACCCGGCACAAGTTGCCCTGTATGTCTTTAGGCACTCGCATAGTGGCAAGCTCCTTCCGCTCCAATTTTGGCTGACCAGCCACTAGCTCATAGATATCAACACGGCCATATTCCGTCTCATTGACCTGCCAAGTGAAATGTTTTATTCTATTTTGTATCACCAAGCACTTAGAATGCCCAGTCATCCAGGAGAAATACATCACAAACCCATGGCAATTATACTAAGTAAACCTGATGATGGGGTGTGAGGGGTCTTGGTAAAGAAGTTGCAAAACATCTTAAAACCTGTTCACTTGGAATGTGTCAAGGTGCAATGACAGCAATGGCGCAAGCGATAGGCTTGGACTGACCTTGCAGAATCATCTCCAAATCCTTCTGAATATGACTCTGGTCCTGCCCTGGTCCTTGAATCATCCCCACAAAATCCAGCTCCTGCTCTTTGCACAATCTCTTGATGGCCGCGTGATTCATCAAGCCCGCAAGGCCTCCAGACGTTGAGGTAACAATCTTGCAGCATTCTACTCGGTCCTTCTGCTCTCTCCCCACCAGCAGTCCAATCATCTCTGGTCTTCGCGTGTGCCAAGCTTGGAAGGACGCCAGCGCGCCTCTCTGAAGCAAGACACTCGATGCAGCCAGCTTGGGTCCATGCTGTGGGCACTCAGACAGCAAATCTGTGGTAATATCAGTCGCTTGCTCGATGGTTCTGGTCTTCTTGTCTTTGTCACAGGCAGGAAGGGAGTCAAAGCCGCTGTTCAGGGATGCTGGTATTGCTTTTGGCCGTTCGACCTTGGACGTATCCAAGAAGAGCTAAGGTAGTAAAAACATGCGTACTTTAGAAGCCCAATTTCAAAAGTCGAGCTGTACACAAATGTGTGTATGTGTTTAATTGTTCTCATACATAGCAGGCTTGGAATGCCTGCTTACCCATATATAGTATAGTTCTATATATCTGTAGCATAGTTTCATATATAATGTTGAGGAAGTTTCTAATGGAAAGCCTGCTTGGTACATTTTGGCTGGCAACGTTAAACTTGTCTTTGGCCTTGTGCATGTCCAGGGCCATCTTGATCTTGTCCTCCACCCAGCCTTGGGCTTGCACGCTTCTATTGTTGAACTCTGTGAATGCATGTTAAATATCAGCAATCCCACTTAGAATGCCTGCATGGTGGTTCTGCATGGAACACTACAGTATGATTTCGAAAACAACTATGGAATGTGTCAACTAAGCATCTAACTGACACGTCCTGAGAAGCACATTTCCTTGAGGTTCTGCCGCTGGTCTGCTAAACTTCGGCCTTTGATCATAGGTATTTTGTGATCCTCAAGCCAACCAGCGCGAGCCTGGAAAGGTCAGAGCATTGTATATTTATATATATATATATACATATGTATAGGAAGTTGCACAGGTTCCAATTCGGGTATGCAAATACCAACGTGTCAGTCATTCTAAGTGGCTCGGTGCACCAAGCATATTGTTTCATTCCACCCTGCCTTGCCCTTGTTAGTCTCAAAGCCAAAGTCCAGATGAACAACACAATTGGCAAATTCCACTGCTGCTGTCTTTGCAAGAAGTATGCCCTCATACTCTTGAAAGAAGAAGCGCCGTGTCATGCCATCCATGCGAACACTGAACCTGACTTGACAACAGGAAAGAACCACAAAGTCTTGCACTTAGAATGCGTGCCAGAATCGCTAAAACGCACTTATGAATATGTAATAATATGTATACATATATATATCTACACAGTATATATCCCTATATGCATAAAGCATTTGCGTAGGACATTTGAGAGAGAGGAAGCAAATAGGGTGCTGACATCTTGGCGCACTCACGTACTGCTTTGGGAAGGTCGTTCGAGGCAGATGGATTGCTCGAGGAAGACGGATTGCTCGGACAAGGGCCGCTTGAGGAAGAAGCATCTTCCCTCAGCCCGCAAACCACTGCATATAATGCACATATACTTTGCTAAAAAGCGTGTCTGCATGTATATATATATAGTTTTATATAACCGTGATAGCAAGGATTTCTATGGCTGGTCTCAGCCACTTTACATTATATATATATATATGTATGTGTCTTCAATAATCAACCTTTCATCTGAAATTGGCCAAAATACACAGGCACATCCTTTGTGACCACCTTGGCCGGTGAACCTGGAGGTGAATCGGCCAGCGGTGGTTCTGGAGGTGGTGGAAGTGGAGGAGGATCAGCTGCCTCCAACATAGCTTTTTTTAACGCCTGATGCAAAGTTTGCTGCATTCTGCTTGAGCCAAGTGGATGCTGAGGAAATTCTTCAGTGTTTGCATGGCTGCCCTTTAATTACTGCATCGCTGCCCCTTTTGCAGGCATTCTAAGTCGCACCCCTCAGGCATGACCACGTACCCAGAGCAGGCATTCTATCTTTCAGTCCGGCAGTATATATAGCTCTAAGCAAACAAGCAAAATCTAGCAAATCTCCTCGCAGCGCTTGGCCACAGCGTTCCAAAGATCCAAAGATGCCCCTTCCGCTGCGGCTGCCTGTCCAAGACGAGGTCTGATCCGATTTGGTCAAAAGTTGGACAAGGATCCTGGATGAATCGTAACTTAAGTTTCCCTAAAAAACTAAGAAAAATGTTCGCTACTAGGGGCTCCTGGCCTTACTACTAGGAACAAAGGACGCTAGTAGGGGCTCCTGGCATCGCTACTAGGAGCAAGGACGCTACTAGGGGCTCTTCTTCAGTGCGAGCGCTTCTTCAAGGTAAAGGGGGCGAAGGAGCTTCCTTGAAGAAGCGTGAGCTATCCTGCGTCCGTACTAGTAGCTTACTTGTAGGTACTAGCTACCTAGCTACTACTAGCTACCTGCCTACCTCACCTCACCTCTGCTAGCGGCCTACCCCTCCCTCTTGCTTTGTGCTATTCACGCCAACGATTCGCCTGGGAAATCTTCCGCAGTCGGCTGGAGCTCATCTCTGGAACCTGCAAAAAATATCGTTGACTTGAAAGCGTGTCTGTGTTTGGAGTCATTTGTACCAGCGAATACCACTCTGAGCAGTTATAACGTATAAGATGTATAAGTGACTTCAGCGTGCATGGATGGGTCAGCCTTGATGAGGTCAGCGGCACCCAGGCTCTCAGCAACAGCGCCTGGAGCGAGGCACCAGCCAGGTACGAGTAGGAGCCACAGAGTAGCCCGCAAGGCGCCGAATGTGACTCATTGTTGAGCCCCCCTTGTGACAGACCAGCCTCGAGGTTCCATGAGTGTCGCTGGCTCCTAGTGAGATGTGCTCAAAGCTGCCTAAATCTTCAAGTTTCATCAAACCACTGGGGCAAACATCTCAGACATGAAGACGCTTTGGTATCCCAAAGTGAAAAATAGTTCCCCCCCCCAAACGCTTCATCTCACAGCTGGTCCTGGTGCATCGGGCTCGGGGCGGCGGTCGCTGTCACTGCTCTGCGAGGCCATCGAAGCGATTCCGAGCCGAAGTGCGGCACGCGGTTCCTGGCGAGGCTCCGCGCCGCTGGAGCGTTCAAACGAAACGATTTAAAGAAACGACGTTCAAAGAGCCAGAAGAAAGACAAAGGTCGAATGGATTCGGAAAAGAAGGCCCTTCAGTGTCCGCAGTGTCCCTTCTCCTGCGTTGCCAGTTAAAAACCCTCGATACACTCCGTTGAAAAATTGAAGGAAAACTCGGAGCGGCCTGACGGACACCAGCCGCCTCATCACATGACACCAGCTCAGTCAATCATGGCAAGAGTGCCAAAGAAATATCATCGCTGAGGGAAGTGGAGCAATTGCAAACTGTGCACGACTGTGTAGAATTCTTCTAGGATCGACTTGCTGAGCATCTTCAGTGGTCAGCTGGTTCAGAGATGATACAGAATGCAAATGATACCTGTATGAATCAAATGATACATGTCACACATGTCATGTTCATATCAAAATATTTCAAGTTTTTGAACCAAAGTTCTGGATAGCAAGCAGTTGGTCGCCAAAGAGCCACGCGCAACTTGCTTCAAATGCGTGGTGCGCGTTTGAAGCCTCTGTGTGGACTTCTGTGACTGTCGGATTGCTACTTACTACTCAGTTGTTTTTTCTACTAGAACTCTCTACAGTGACTCAACAGCCCACAGCAAATGATTGTCTCCAACAATTCTTAAGTAGCATGACTCGAAGCGAAATTTCGAGGCTGGTCCGCTCTGCCGCCCCTTGCTCCGGGGCAAGAGGGAGGCGCCCATCTCAAAAGAAAAAGACTGAATTGACAAATGAGATCATGTTGTGATACGCTCTGCCACCCCTTGCACAATCTTGCAAGAGGCTAAAGGCAAGACCACCAACCCAACTGAGTGCAACTGGCACATGAATGCATTGTTCATGCGCTCTGGCGCCCTTGCGCCGTGTTGCAAGCTGATAGCTGGGGGGTTGGGTCACTAATATTCACTCATCACTCAAATCATCACTTCTATCACTCCTGTGCTTTCCTCAGTTCATCAAGCATTCTATCACTGCCGTATCACTTGTCCCGAAGGCCCACCTCTTGATCCTCATCCTCCGCCGATTCGCTGCTCTCGGAAGGATCGAGATCGGCAGGCGGCACCACACCATTCTCAAAGAAGGTGCTGATGATGCGGCTGGAGGGACGCTCATTGGCTCTGCGTGCCTGGAACACAAGATCAAACATGTCAATGGTGTGTCACTGCACCAAGATGTGTGAAATAAGATGAAACGAGATGAAACGAGCAAGTTACAATGGAGATGAGCTCTGAAGACTCTGAAGTGCTGAGACTCCGACAACCTCTTCAGCTTCATGCTCTGCATCCCCATCCTCCAAGGTGTCCTTGATGGGAGGAGGAACACGGGAAAATCCATAGGCTTGGAGAATCTTCAGGATCACAAAGAGGGCGGCTAGGGTGAGATATCCAATCATAAAGGCACAGGAAGACAAGCCAAAGGCCTGGCCTGGGCTACCCGAGAAGCTTTTGAATGTGAGGTCTGCCTTCGCCTGGTGTATAAGCCCGAAAGCGGACAGAAAAGCTCCAACCGTTGCCCAAATGGCCGACTGCGCAAAGCGTCGATCAATGAGGTGAATCCCCATAGAAGTCCAAATGATACAAACCAGCAAGGCACCATAAGACATGGCTGCGAGCCCAGGCTTCTTCTCTCCGAAACTTGAGTCGATCGAAAGAATCCAGTCGCCGGTGGACGGGAAAAGTCCAATGATGGCTGCCGGGATGTGTCGACTTTCGATGATGTTGAAGGCATCCTGATTGATCGCTAGACCCACGAAGAGAATGATCGGTGCCGTGCCCCAAGGCGGAAGGATGGCATTCGCGGCAGCAAACATGCCCGTGCTGGCGAGGAAGCAAAAGAGGATGCAGTTCAGAAAGGAGTAATAGATCTTGCCACCTTGGTTTTTGAACTGAGGATGTCCACAGTAGACGCAGGTCCCAAAAGGTGATCCAAAGAGTGCCGAGACGACCGTGGTCAGGCCATCGACGATGAGGCATTCGCGGATGGGGTACATGTCCCCCACGGAGTGTGCAGCGTAGGTCGACACTAAGGTGTTCACTGCACCAACAAAGGCGACAGGCAAAATCACAGAGAGGTTGTTGGCAATGACCGAACCAATTCCAGCATAGTCGCTTGGCCCTAGCATTTTCGGCATGTAGAAACTGAAGTGGTTCAAGGAGTCCTTCCGGCCAGGCGAGCCACACAGATTGACACAGCTACAGAATATTCAAAAAATATCAAGTCGGTTTCAGCCAGCCGTGTATTTTGTTTGTGCTGTCTTGAGAGTCTGTAGACCTCAATGTCTGCAGTCTCCAGTCCTCCACGGCCTTTGCTGTGCCACCTGTGGGGATCCCACCTTCAGGCCAACCTTCGAAGGAGAGCCACCCGGTCAAACTGCCCACAAGCATCACCGCCACCGCTGCCTGAATTCAAGCAATCAAGAGCCACGAGCTCGATCCACAAGTCGCATGCCCTCTGGCCTTCTCCCAACTGAACCTTTGAAGAAAAAAACAAGAAACCTGGTCAAATGTGAACAAATTCTGAAAGCTCCCAGCTGCAGGAAATGGCGATGTCTTCACCTCCCCAAAGAAACCCACCAGGGCCACGCCCAAGGGCAATAAGCCCAGGTGACCCACATCGAAGCAGGAGATGATCTGCCCGATGCCCAGGTAAGTGAACCCCAGCCCCGCCAGCGCGACCATCAAGGAACCGGGCGGAGCCACCTTCACGATCAAGGGTCCGGCAAAGCCACACCTTGGACGCACAAGACGACCCACTGATGTAAACGATGTGTTTGGGTCTGGTCGTTTCACATCGTTTCACTGTTTTTGACATCGTGCAGGGCATAAACGCTGTGGGCAAGCAGGAATTGTGATTCCAGTAGCAAACATAGCCACACCGCATCCCGCCAGTTGCCTGATCCTAGGATCCCACCACACCCGACGACAAAGACGACAACAAACAAGTCCAAACACAGTGACCAAATTTGGTCACCAAACACAACACATCATGTCGGAAAAAAACCTAGTTAGTGGTGATAGCTTCAATGTGTATATCGGAATTCTTGTTGCTACGTAGATCCTCGGTGGTTCGTCTTGAACACTTCAGAGGGTATCATCCGTGAAGGAGTCCTCGGCTTCCAAACCAATTCTCCGTTCTCCGTTGCCAAGGCGCAACGTGGCGATGATGCCACTCACAAGGTTCGCTACACATCCCACACGCCAAGCATAGAGCACACCCTCCTCCCAGCTCATGCCGGTGGCAGCCGCTTCCTTTGCTGCCTTGGCGACCACACTGAAGATAAATGCAAAGGCCGCAGGCGTGTTGATCCCATAGGGCAAACAGCAAACATTGGTGGTCTTCTCTCGTCTCATCATTCGCCAAGCCATCCATGCATAGTAGCAGTTGCCGAAAATCATGGTCACACACATGCCTGCAACGATCCTGGAGTAGATCACATTCGTTGCAAAGCTCATCATTGCATTCTTATCCACTCCAGCCACATTCTCGTAGGGTGAGGTCATGACCATTTGAAGAGCTGCTATCATCGCCACAAGATTCCCGATCATTTGGCATAACAGCGTCAGAGCACAATTGATTTCCCCAGCCCCGAAGGGGATGCAACTGATCGCCATGGTCGTGCAAAGGCACTCTCCTTCTGCGCAGCTCCACTGCTTGGAAAAATCTACGGCTGGCATCAAGCAAACATGTGCAGCTGAAAGCCAGAAATCCAAGTCAAATCAACTGACAGCTGCTGAATGGGTCGGGCACTTCTCACTTCTTTTGACCACGGCGAATCTTTGTCACCGCGTATCTGCATCGCGTCGGGTCGCCCGATAGACCTCAGTGCATCGAAGAACTTCAGCGAAAGGCGGACTAAGTGCATCGAAGTGCGCACTGAACGAAGATGTTGGAGGCCATCGCTATTAGGTGACTGAGCTGTTTTTAGTCGACTGAGTGCCTAGCTTGAACTGTTCGCGAGATCCACCAAACGCTTGATGCAGCCTGCAGCGAAGGGGTGCCGGAGGCTTACTCAGGCTACTGCTTGAAAGTCTCATCTAAGCAACGATGAAAGTCGCCTGTCTACAAACTGTATATCTGGAAAACCTGAGAATGTCACTCAACTGTTGGTGCCGCGACTGTGTGGAAGTTCAGCAACTAATTTCAGCTTGTGAAACCATGAAGGGATTGCCTGTGCAGCTGCTGAGGCCTCCAGATCCGCAATCAGTCCTAGGAGACCGCGTACGACCTGGCCTGCAGTCTAATAGGAATGGCCTCCAACCTACTTAGCGATGGCCTCCAACCCAAGAATACTCAAAGAACCACAAAGCATTAGCAAAAGCGACTCAGAGCCACACCGACCTTGGCAAAAAGAGCCCGTGCTTCCTGTCAAGATTGGGCTTGCGAGGGAACCCCTTGAAACCAAGCGGCTAAGGGTTGTAGAGCCACACAATATGGTGGTTCGATGAAAAGCCAACACAGTCGGACCAACGAATCTACACCTTCTGCATCTTGAAATGAAGCCTCAGTGTATGTAGCTTTTCACACCAGCACCACATGATCCCTATATAAAGCCAAACCTCTTCACATCATCACTTCAACGACCCAGTGGGGCCTCTTTGGGGGGGTCCCATCGTGTCAATCGCTTCTTCTTTGCTTAACAAAGAGGTACCAATGACATCCAATGACATCCAAGGTCCATCTAGCTCTCACGGTTATAGTAGCTCCTCAGGACTGCGGCAGCTGATGTGGTGTTCACCACCGGCTCCACACCAGGACCAGGACACCACAGCGCCCTGCAACATAGTGTTTCTAGTAGCGTCCTTTGCTCCTAGTGTCATCTGCTAACATCCAAGTCAATGTTTGGAGAATGTGAATGCTCACCATTCCGTCCAAAAAAAAAATGATCGCATGTGGTTCTTGTCCACTCACACGATCAAAATCCGCACGTCTTCTAGTCTTGGGCCTCCTTTGCATGACGCCGCAGGTTCTCCAAGAACGTCCCAAGCCTGGCCTGCCAAGTTCGTCGCCCTGGGTCACCCCCAAAAGCAGCTTCCCAAACTACATCCATCCCAAAAGATCAGTCCGCCCAAAATCAAACTTCCATATTGGTACTTCCAAGTCACCGAGGGCTAAACGACTTCACCTGCTTTGCTGCCCTTCTATCCCACTTTCTATCCCTTGTTCCTTCAAATCAGAGATTCTGAAGGATCACCAGAAGCCTTCTCTTTTTCTACGACGACATCTTTCCAGGAAGAAGCACAGCCGTGTCCCGCCTGGGGAATGTGCTCAGCCACCTCCAGGCACAGGATCCAGTCATAGCTCTCGGCAAGCAGCGGCACAGACAAATCCTCACGCAGAGCGGCGCGCTCACGGCGCGGGAACTCGTGCGAAAGGGCACGACATGGATCCATGTCCCACTCATCTTGGATTCACCACCGCGGGAAGGGCTCCTTCTCAGTGACTCGACCTCGCGTCAAGTTGGTCACCCCACGGGCCTCAGGTCGTCGGGGCAAAAAGCGGAACGGGCCGAACGTGGCATGCGATGAACGTGGTAGTCTGGCTGACTTGAAGCATGGCATACAAGTGAGTATATACTATAGGTAAACTGCTCAGCCTGAGTCCAAGAGTTGTCCAAGCAGCTCCATCGAAAGCCCGCGAGGTTAGTAGTTTGCTCTCATTCAGCCATCGTGAGGAGGCACCATTTAGTGCACCAAACCTGGAACATGGCGACATACCGTTGGAGCGGCACGGCCCTTCGCCTACACCATCTACCTATGGTTTCCATGTAAAGATCTGAAGGCACTGCGACGGCACTGCCTTGATTTCATGAAATGGATGAACTAACCTACTAGCGACCAACCTAATGGCGATGCCTCCAACCTACTAGCGATGGCCTTCAACCTAATAGCGATGGCCTCCAACCTACTACGTTATGTATATCAAAACGTTCAAACAGTGTAAATGTTTGAAACGGCAGCCTTCACTGCTCTCAGGTCTTGACTCCCCGACGGATTTCCCACGGAAAATCCCTTGTGAAAGCCACCTGGCTGCAATCTCAAGAGATGCCCTGAAACGGTGGAGTCTCGGTGATGCTTCTGTGGTGTCTTGGTCATGTTTAGGCAGTCAGGTGGTGTCTCGGTGATGTTTTAGTAATGCCGTGTCTCGGTCATGTTTGGTGAGTCGGTTAAGTTTCGGTGTCTCGCTCATGTTTGGGTGATGTGCCGGTTGTGTTTTCGTGCTGTTCTTGTTGTTTTGCTGTTTTGGTGGTGTATCGGTTCTGTGGCGGTTGTTCGCAAATATTTTTGGTTGTGTCTCGCTTATGCTGTGGTTGTATCTCGGTCTCAATCTTGCTGCGCGTATGAACTGTGCGCTTGCGTGTACTTGCACCCGGTGCACGTTGCGCGCTGGCGCTTGAGCATCATGTCGCGCCTAATGTATAGATTATGCGTCGACATGTAAAAAAAATGTTCGCTTGAGAGGAGCATCCTTAGCTGGCTAGCAACTGCGTGCTGCATTCAGTGCACCTTTGGCGTAGAAAGAAATTATGCGTTTGTCCTTCAATACATTTTCCTCTTCCTTTGGGGATAATCATAGGTTCCTGTCGTCTGTATGAATTTTTATGTTTGTTTTTCTCTGTTCGAGTAGGGATTGTGCGCCTAGATATTGAAACGCCTTTCTTCCTCTGTGCGAATCTTATGTTGTTGCCTTGTATTGAAGAGGTTCTTCAGATGTATGGACTTTGCGCAGGCTCTCACACAAACAATTCGACCAACGGCAAAAAATTGTTAAGTGCTTCGTGGTCAACAGAACATGCGTTTGGTTTGGGGGTTGGACTTGTTTGTAAATGTGTGCCAAAATGTTGCGACTGCATTTCAAAAGGTTTTGGTGTTGGTAGAAAGTTATTTTCGAGGTGTGCAAATCTGATTGCTCAACACTGCGATTCTTGCATCGTTCGTGTACACCCACTGCTTAGATGTAGTTTTTCTGTTTACTTTCGATGAGCGTCATCTTTGCTTGTCAATACTTTGTAAAAACGATGCATGTGCGTGTCCAAAAGTGTATCTTCCCTGGTGCCAGAACTTAAAGTATGGTCTCTGACAACTGCATTCACTGTACCTTTCGTGTATGAAGTAATTATGCTTTCGTATTTAACTGCACTTTCTGTCTGGTCTGGTGATAATATATTCTTATCATCTGTATAATGTTTATTCCTTTCATTCTTTGTCAGAATTGAACCTGCACGCATATGCGAAAAAAATATGCGCACACCTCTCTTTGGTGCGAATCTTTTGCAGCGTTGTATAAAGTTGGTTCTTCAGGCGTATGCACAATGTGCAAACACTTGAGCACTTGAATATACAATTCGGCCATCGGCAAACATTCGTTAAGTGGTATAAACATGTATAAACTATTGGAGTGTATTTTACTCAGCTTCTTGGCGTCTTTTTAATATGAATTATCCACGACGATCGATTTGTGAAAGAGCGACGCAACGAACAATGCAGAAAAAATGGATCTGGTGGCTGCTTTGCTATTGGGGTTGTCAGACCATTACTTTTTTGTTTCTGAAGAATGCACATCATCTATGCCTGTGAGGGCAAAATAACGTTTGTGCTCAGAACTGAGCATCTTCTGAAAAGCACTATGTCCACCGCCACACCCAGCCTCAGCAAACCTTCATCTATTGTGCGGATGTCCATCAATTCGTAAAGAGCAACTACCGACCTCAGCCAGCCGAAGAGCAACTACCTCAAAGGGTTTTGATGAGCAAGAAATCTTAAGAAAGAAACAGAGAGTATTTATATAGAGATTCTGTCCACAACAGCTGAGAGAAAACCATGATGTAGGCACACAACAAGGAAACAAGCAGAAAGAAACACATTGACAAGAACTCGGTGGCAAATGAATGATACCAAAACCTCACGCAAAATAGCACCGAGGCACGGACGATGCATATGCAGTGCCCCCCTTCATTCTTTGTCCCAGACCACTCAGCGCCTCACTTTTGAAAGCCAATGGAAATGGCACGGTCCATAAATTGCTCAACCAGCTCTCTCGATCTACCAGTCAGTACCTTCATCCAACAGCAGCATCTTACAGGATGTCCTCTTTCGAATTGCTCACTCTGCCTCTTTCTTCCCAAGAGACACTCTCCAGGTGCAAGTATGTCGGAGAAGTCGAAGAAGTCCGAACACCAGAAGCTCAACACGTGTTTGTTCGTTCCCCAAGCGTTCGTGGAGCCTTCCGGAGCGTCTCATGACAGAGCTCAAAGAGACGCTCAGCCGAGCGGAACCTTGGAGCCCAACGAAGCATGTCATGAACATTCCAGTAACAAGGGCCTTACTAGAAGTAACTTAAAGGGGCCCAGGCTTTCCTTACCTTTTCACTTTCCTTTATTTCCCTTCCAAAATATGTCCCAGCTCAGAGTAGAATGTCAAAACCAAAGACCAAAGGTCCATAGTTCGTGTCCTTGGAATGTGTCTGCATGGTGAGAGAGTGGAGTTCCCGGTGTCTGGGACCCTTGCACTCCAATGAAGAGCAAAGACTCAGGTCCAGGCTCCAGCCAGTTCTGATGAACCACCCTTTCGCTAGTGGACATCTGCGGCAACAAACAAGACCACAAATTTATGCC